TGAATTTTGTTAGTCTTTTTGTGAGCTCTTGCAACTACTCCCCAAGGCTAACATGAATTAACTGTTGATAACAAAACCTTGATATTAGTTTGTAATGTATAGATTTTTTTAAGTTTTAAATTGTATTAACTAAAGTTTGTTTAAAAATTAGAAAAAAAAAAAACAACAAGGCAAACACCATTTTTAGTTAACCTCTTTTATTGCTCCAAAAAATTGTTAGATTATAAACAAACAAAAAAAAAACATAAGTTATTTTTCCTCTCTCTCTCGCTCCTTGTTCAAACAGCAAAAGTCTTTGAGTTCTTCATACCTCTTTTTTGTACAGAACCCTACTACACAGCCACAAAGTTCGTTAATTGCAATTTAGAATGTTATAAATTTGATAAAAGAAAACTAAATTATGTTATGATTTTTATTATATACTCTTGATTTTTTTTTTGTTTCTAAATGCCAACAGGAAATACGTGTACTTTCTATTTACAAAGAAAAAAAAAAAAAAACAAATAAATGCGTATGATTTCAACAAAAAAAATCTTGTTTTAATTTCAGTGAAACTAAATTTTTAAAAGTACAAGGTGACATAAAAAAATGCAACAAAGCCAGACGCCATAATTTTACATTTTTTTTAAATTTTTTTTTGAATGGAAGCACTTACTTGAGGTGATCGACACTTGGTATTTTTAGTGCCAACCTTGCTTTCCAAAATACTCCAGACACATAGTCCAACGGATTGGTATCCGGAGATTTTGGTGGCCATTGTGCTCTGGAAATAAAGGGAGGAACCTCATTTTGTAACCATTCTTGGGTGGCGCGTGCTGAGTGCGATGGTGCTGAGTGCTTTTTGAATGTCCAAGGTCTGCGGCCAAGGCTTTAATACATCCTCCAGAATATTATCGCGATAATATTCGGCATTTTTCTGATAACACGGTCGATTAATACGAGCGGAGAGCGACCATCGGCTGTTATGGCGGCCCTCACTTGAGTTCTGGTGGCCAACAGAAGATATATATTTTCAGCTGACCTTTTTGGCAATTGAACACGATCATTTGTTTGTTTCTGATGATGTTGCTGTTTTCTCTCGTCCACTTCCTTGACTTCGAGCTACGCTACCAGTACCATAATCACGGTTACGAGCGATGGTACGAGACACAAAAGATTTATTCACTTTTAAATACTGGAGTGCTCTATCTCTATAAAGAAATCACACTATCAAGCTTGAATTCCATCACGAATAATTTTTTTTTTTGGAAAAATTTTCAACAAAACGCTTTTGTGCGCTTGTAAACAATGCAATGAGCTGTCACTGAAATAATTTTAACAGTTGTCGGACGAGTGGCTTAGAAATGACAGCAGTCTGAAGTTGGTACTACCCTGTACAACAGCCATTGGGGTATAAGAAATTCCAATTGAAATTGATATTTTGGATCTTCAGGTCGTTCCTAATAATTTTGGTGCATCTCTGAAACAACGATTTTTATCATCAATTTGATTATATTTGTTTTATACCCTCCACCATTGTCATTCCGTTTGTAACTCCTTGAAATACTCATGTCAGACCCAACAAAGTATATATATTCTTGATCAGCGTAAAATTCTAAGTCGATTTAGCACTGTCGGTCGGTCTGTTGTAATCACGAATGAGATAGAAGGCTTAAATTTTGCCAGTAGGCAGGTTAAGTTCGCAAATGCGTCATGTAGGTCCACGTTTTTCATATAGCCCCCATATAACGGTACCTTCCCATATTCGGTATTTTGATGATTTTACCGACATTATTCACCGGAATTGTTTCAAATTTGGAATTTGAAGTTCGAAATGGCTACTACAGCCTAGGACAGAAAATTGTCTGTGCAGGTCCACGTCTTCGTATAGCCCCTCTCAATATCGGTATTTTGATAATTTTTGCGTCATTATTCACCTGAGTAGTTTCAAATTTCAAATTCGGTATTTTGACGATTTTAGGTACAACACTCACCGAAATTTTTTGAAATGTCGTATTTGAAGTTCGTAATGGATGCTACAGCCTGTCACAATAAAGTGTATATGTAGGTTCAGGTCTTCGTATAGCTCCGATATAACTGTACCTCCCTATATACGTTATTTGAAGATGCTACATTATACCCGTTATAATGTGGTAGTGGCTTATAACAAACAATGCCTATGTAGGTCCATGTCGCATAGACCCCAATATAACGGCTATATTCCGGTATTTTTAAGATTTTAACAGAATTTTTAACGGATTTTTATTTTTTGAAAATTTCCAAATTCGTTCCAAATGGTTGAGGGTATTCAAAGTTACTGCCCAGCCGAACCAACTGCTTTTTAACTTGGTTCAATTGTATTTGTAAATATTTGATTTGTAAATTAAAACACCAAAAATATTTTGAATCCTTAGCCCAAACTTCATATTTTTGGGGAATCTCTGGACCAAGGTTTTTATCATCGATCTTTTTTTCGAAAAATTTAGTATTTTTTCTGAATTCGCTATAAATTTTCTGTACAGCAGCCATTTAGGTATGAGAATTCCAATTGGATTTAATACAATTTGCTTTGTAGATGAAGATCCCAAATGTATTTTAGATCCTCAGGACAAACTTAGACGAGGACTCAACCATAGTTGATTCATAAATGACATTGATACATCCACCATTCAAGTCACGCTGTTTTTCCTAAAGCCATTCACAAATATTTTGGCTATATAGTGTTACTTATTTACAATTTTCTTACCTTTATTCCCCTATTTCCCCACATTTACCATATATCAGCATATAATTCAATTGTCTAAGTTCTGTAAGTGCTGCATATTCATTTGTCCAAAACATAGCAAGACAATGTGAAAAAAAAACTTTCCATTTCCAATAAAAACACCAAGATGGTTGTTGTTTTGTTTTTTTTTTTTTTTTTCTTGTAACTTCTTCTGAAATAAAATACTAATTTTTATTCATACTTTTCAACTTTAGTTGCCACTACTATTTGTCAACACATGAGAGGGGAAACATTCGAAATAATACGTTTTGTTTTTCTAAATATAAATAAATTCTTTTCTTTTTGGTTTTCTTTTTGAACATTTCTCTTTTTTTGGTTTTGTTTTTGTTAATGGATAAGATGAGGTGTGGAATTTTATAGTACTTTTTTTCTTCATGGTAATAATGTGGGGTGTAGTAATTGTTGTGTGGGTTTGAGTGGGGTGAATGTGTGTTTTTTTTTTTTATTTTCATCTAATTTCTAATTTTTTTGGTTTATTTGTAGTTGTTGTTTTAATTTTTGTGATACTTTTCAGGTCTATAAATGAGTGATGGATGTTGTTTGTTGTTGTTTTCTTTTCTTGTTGAGTGTGATATCTTCTTGTCATAGTTGTTGGTTTGGTTTGGTTTGGTTTGGTTTCCTTTATTATTTTGCTCACGACAAACATTTTGGTAATATTTTCGTAGGCACCGTGGTAATCACTTGTCCCCACACTAAAGTACCAAGGCCGAAGAATACACACCACAGCCATTGATCGAGCGATAAGGCTTTTGTGGAGAATGCCATTTTACCATATTGTATTATGACGACCTGGATGAAAAATAGGAAGAAGGAAATCATATTTTTTCAATTAAAATTTAGGATTTTCAACATACTTGAGAAATCATTGTACCAATCCAAATGGTGTAGAAAATTGGATTGGTAAAGATACCCTCAACAACATTTCGCTGGCCATGGATTTTACGAGCGTTAATTTCATTAAACATAATCATCATAACAAATGCATTGAATATAATTGTAAAATGCTGTGTTGGTCCCGCATTCAAATCTTGGCCACGACCCGATTCAATGTCCAGTATCCAATCGCCTGCAATAAATTTTCAATTGTAGCAAAATCTTTTCAAACTAGATTTTTGTGGGGCAAAACTTACCGGCAAATAACAATCCAAATATAATAATTAATTGATAAAAGGCTTGGCCCAAAATATTCTTCATCATAATGGGTGAAATCAGGGGTTTTGTACGCCCATATGGCTTGCGTAACAATAGATCAGGTGTTGGCAATTCGGTGGCCAAAGCCAAAGAGGCCAGTGTGTCCATAATTAAGTTGACCCATAACATTTGTACTGCCTGCAATAAAATCACATGGAGAATGTTAAAGCAATGAACGATATTAATGCGACTCAGACATTCACCTTTAATGGAGAGTCCTGGACAGCACAGGCACCAATGAATGCAACAACAACGGCCACAACGTTAACTGTTAGTTGAAATTGCAAGAATTTGGCTATGGAATCGTAAACATTACGACCCCACATAACGGCCTTAACAATACTGCTGAAATTATCATCGGTCAATATAATATCGGAAGCTTCTTTGGCCACATCGGTGCCAGCAATTCCCATGGCAAATCCAACATCAGCCTTCTTCAGGGCTGGACCATCATTGGTACCATCTCCGGTTACGGCAACAACTTCACGACTATCGCTTATGGAACTATCAATAATGCCTGTCGTTGAGAGGTTAAATCACGTTTTTATAATAAAGAAAAGGAAGGAAAGACTTTGTATGGAGTTGCTTACCTTTAACAAGAGTATATTTATCAGTAGGTGAAGATCGAGCTAGAACACGCAATCTTGGCCAAACTTTATCTAGCAAATGTTGCTGAACCTGTGAGAAAGGAAAGAAACAAAAAAAATAAAATCAAAAAGTAAAAAAAAAAAACATTAAGTTCGGCCGGGCCAAACTTTGTATACCCTCCACCTTAGGGTAATAAAAAATATTTAAATAAAAGTATCTGAATTCAAATGTTTTCCACTTTAAACTACAAATACCAGTAAGACAATTGGGATAAGTATTCAATGTTCTGCCGCCGGAGCTAGAACCCATTATGGCCTACGAATATCAATTTTCAGACAAATCCGTGGAAAAATGTGGCAAAAATCCTCAAAATACCGAATATCGGAAG